TGTTGGAACCTCTCCTGTCGCAGCATCTACCTTAGAGTGACAGACAAGTGACGATTGGAAGATCTTTAGAAATTCGACTTTACAATGTTCCCTAAATGTTCTTCGTTGTTTTTTTTCTGAAGCGTGTCAGATACAGGCCGTTGAAGTGGGGAACCCTCACTTCTTCTTAGACAAAAGTTTCTCAGCCTCTTCATCTCGAGGGGATAACAAACCTTACACAGCACGACTTCGGAGTAGTTCGGGTGCCTGGTCACCCAGCAATGATAACAATGCTGATGATTACCTAGAAATTAACCTGGGAGAAGTGTTCCTCATTTGCGCTGTATCTACTCAAGGACATCCAAGAAACGATGAGTGGACCAAAAGTTATAAGTTGCATTTTTTCCTGGAAAATTGGTTCATCTATAAAGAAAAAAACATGGAAAAGGTTTGAAAGACTCCAGGGCTTGTTTAAAGTAACCATTATTATGAAGGAAAAAGGATTCGATGAATTCATGTTTTTAAAGTTTTTGAATAACGGCAAAAAGTTATCTGTATTGACTGAAATCCTCGAGATCAAAATGGATGTAAAATAGTGGTAGTTGAACACCGTGTCGCACAAGTTTGGTCTAGAAATCATACTCGAGGATTGCACTCCTCTCATGCAGTTTAATTATCAATGACTATAAAGAAAACCTCTATCTCTCGGCGAAGTGGTCTTATTAGGCGATAGGTTTTGGTTACCAGCAGTTTGAATGTTGATCAGTTTAGCGGGCAGTAATATTGCTTTTTTGGTTAAATAGTACACAGGCCTTGCTGCACATACCTGAAGGTAACCAAACCATGACCCAAATTAACCAAAACTAGTTTAGGCGGAGTCTTCCCAGGGAGAAGGATCAAACCAAATCTACACTAGGTTATAGTAGAAAGACTTTAATACACCTTCAAATTTGAGATTCGTCAATCAATTTTTGTTCATGGATAGAGAGGGAAATTTTCGACAATGATCGAGCAACTTTTTTTCCACAGATTTTCAGTGGCAATTCACACAGGAATGAAATAGTGAAACATGTTCTGGTAGAAGTGACAAGGGCTCGGATCATTCGGTTCCAGCCAGTTGACTATCATATTCACAAAGCCCTCAGAGTAGAAGTGTATGGAATTAAAATACCCGCAAGTACGTCCGTTTTTCATGTAAACCATCTTAAGACGTAATCTTTGGAATTTAAGCGTCGTGATAAATGGCTTGAGGGACCTAACCTAACGTTATCTTTTCCAACGTTTTTGGCCCTATAAACCTCCCTCAGAGGAGAAATTGTGACTTCTTTTGAAAGAAAAACAACCGTTATCGAAGCCTCTTGGCTGCCCCCTCTTTGGTTCATTTTAAATAAATTTTGAACATGGTTGACGTCATTTCTATGATCAATAAGGTTATAGACGATGGAAAACTGTGGTCCATTTTTTTTTATAACATAACCAAAGTAAAGTGCGCGCTCTGATTGGTCAATTTAGCGTCCCCCATTTGCCCATGGGTGTACGCTGCTGACGTGAGCAAATGCAAAGACTATTTTTCCGCGCGCGCTTGTTTTTTCTGGTCGCGTAAGATTTGTTAAATAAAAGGGAACTCTTTAGCTACAATGTATCAATGTTATGTTATAAAACAAATGGTAAACACCACAGCGTACACTATTGAGTTATGGATGCACTTGGGAGGTTTGCTAAGCACTCAAGAAGCTAGAGTCGCTCTCGGCTATCGCCTCGAGCGACTCTTACGCTTCTTTCGTGCTTAGCAACCTCCCGCGTGCATCCATAACTCAATAGTGTACGCTGTGGTGTTTACCATTTGTTTTATAACATAACATTGATACATTGTAGCTAAAGAGTTCCCTTTTATTTAACAAATCTTACGCGACCAGAAAAAACAAGCGCGCGCGGAAAAATAGTCTTTGCATTTGCTCACGTCAGCAGCGTACACCCATGGGCAAATGGGGGACGCTAAATTGACCAATCAGAGCGCGCGCTTTACTTTGGTTATGTTATAATGTTTTGATTCTGCGTTACTTATCGTGATTCATCAAAAGTGTTTTATAACATAACCAAAGTAAAGCGCGCGCTCTGATTGGTCAATTTAGCGTCCCCCATTTGCCCATGGGTGTACGCTGCTGACGTGAGCAAATGCAAAGACTATTTTTCCGCGCGCGCTTGTTTTTTCTGGTCACGTAAGATTTGTTAAATAAAAGGGAACTCTTTAGCTACAATGTATCAATGTTATGTTATAAAACAAATGGTAAACACCACAGCGTACACTATTGAGTTATGGATGCACTTGGGAGGTTTGCTAAGCACTCAAGAAGCTAGAGTCGCTCTCGGCTATCGCCTCGAGCGACTCTTACGCTTCTTTCGTGCTTAGCAACCTCCCGCGTGCATCCATAACTCAATAGTGTACGCTGTGGTGTTTACCAATTGTTAAACGTGATTTGCAACATACCAAAAAGACTTAGCAACTATTATCTATACTATTGTTTGATATTTTTAGCATTTAGAAGCAGGTGATTTGTTGCACGCTGTGTTGGGTTTCCCTGTTGCCCGAAACTTTTCATTTACGCAACTTAGGGATTTAATAGCTCAAAGTTGTTTCCGTTTGCAAAATCTCCCAAGTGGTTTATCTCCATCATGTCAATTCTTAACTTTCAGTTGGAAAATGAAGTTTTAAATCCTTTTTTGCGATTTAGGATTGACTTGAATCGTTTTGCACATACTTTTGTCAGTCATTTGAAGCCGTTCCGTGTAACAAAAATTTCAATTCAGTTAGGTTGAAACAGGTTATTACGGTGCCAAGAATGTTCACCTGAGTGTTTCCAGATCTGTTACAACATTTTATTTATCACAATTACATTAAGCAGATACCGGCTAACGCTCAGATAACACCGAGTTCATCTTCTTTACAGGTACACCTTTTCATCCTGTTATTGAAAACAAAGAGAGAGAAACTTCATTCCCCGATTCCTACATAAAATGGAGTTCTCCAGATACCAACGGCTGTCCGATTACTATGTACACAGTGTACTATAAGGCCATCAAATCACAAAATGAAGAAAATCTCTGGTATCGTATCAATGTATCATCGCGTGCAAACGAGCTGAGAGACCTTCCACTTGACTGTGACGAAGAATACGAATTTAAGATGTCCGCATGGAATAAGGCGGGGGAGAGTCAGCGGTCAGATCCCTGGCGAGTCAAATCTATTACAGGTATATGTATCGGTCTCTCTACATCCATATTTCTGAAATTATGTCATATTTATTTGCACTGGATGCAGGCACAGAACATGTCCAGTAAAACAAGGCAGCACGTCAACACGAAAACAAAATTATCTCGTCTGGTTTTGTGGTAGATCCGACGAGTGCTACTAAGCAAGATGCATGGTGATTCAGACGGCTGTACCTCATACTAATCTCTTTTCGTCAACAACATTCCCTCGAGTCTTATGAATCGCTCCCTTTGAGACTCGAAATTCTAGTTTGACTCCCTTTTTATTTGCGCTCTGTACTCTTCTTCTCTATTTTTTCCGGAAGGGCACCCAATCATTGTCAACCGAACTAAGGAAGTAAAAGGGAGTGTTGTGGTGGTCCGTTGGAAGCCGTGCACGGCCTCTTTATTCAGTATCTACTATAGAGAAATACTTTCTGAGGCTGAGAGCCACTGGAACACGGTGAACATATCGGGACATGGAACAAGTTATGATCTTTGTCTTGGTTGCCGAAGGGAATATGAATTAGCTGTAACAGCTTGGAATTCTACAGCAGAGACGCCATTAACTGCATCATCAAACCAAGGCAGATTGTGGAGAGTGAAAACATTAGGAGGTAATTGAACTCATCTAAATTAAAAAAAAAACGCTCTGGACGAGAAGTTTAATTTGTATCTAGCTAACTGTTTCAGTTGTGCATTAGGCTTGTTTTTTTAGTTCCTATTGTCTTCGCAAGTTCGAATACACCTCTTGGTTGTTAACGTAAGAGTAGATACTGAGATTTCTTACTACGCTAAACGTGGATTTGTAGACGAAACTCTCTGAATTCCAAATCGTATCACAACAAAACTTTTGATCAGTTTTACTAAATGATACTGGCCTTTTCCCTTGATGAATTCTTCCTGCCTTTTTCTGAATCCTTCTCGCTGGTTTTTGCTTCAGAGAAACCTTCACCTCCGGTTATTCAAAGTGAAGGAGTCCAGTTGTCGAGATGTGATGCCAACCTCAAATGGAATTCTCCACAAGACAATAGCTGTCCGCTGACATTGTACACACTATACTACAGAGAGTTGCAATCTACAAATGAAGAGGAGTCCTGGCATCAAATCAACGTTTCCGTAAACATAACCTCAACTGATCTCCCGTCGCTCAAGTGCAACACGGAATACATTTTTAAAGTGACTGCTTGGAATGAATTGGGAGAAGGTGATGCCTCCAATGAATGGCCAATAAAAACTGGTCAGCTCACCGATAACTCAGTCCCGCGAAACCTGACCATTTCTGTATCTGCGGGGTGTGGGTTCCTTATTCTCATTTCTATGGGAATCCTTTGCATCAGACAGAGAAGAAAGAAGAGAAATTTGAGAGGCCACAAGACAGGAAGGTTGAAATGATGTTGTTTAATTCATAAGCTAGCCCAGTTCAAGCAATCTTACTACTAATATATATATTTGCTATTAAAAACTTTTCTTACGTTATCATTACAGTCAAAGCATTCGAAGGAACTAGAATCATAATCACGCGTACATAGAGCCATAGAGCCTACTCACAACTAAAACTATTCTCAGTTACTTACTTACATTATGTGTGCTATCTTAATGAACAAGATGGAAGTCCCGACTCTTAAACGTTCCTTTAATTCAGATCAAAGTCAGACATTGTTCCCCTGTTGTTAAAAGAGATTCTCCCGCAACGTGTAACAATTATGGAAGAGGTAGGCAGAGGAGCGTTTGGAAAAGTACACAGAGGAATCCTGAAAGAAATGCCGAAGGTTGAAGTATTTTTCAAGCCTAAAGAGGAAAGAGTGGATATTAACGAAGGAATAGTGGTTGCTGTAAAACTCCTACATGGTTAGTAAAAATCGGGAAACGTGCCGATTATTTCTGTTTGTTTGTCACCATATTTGGAAACATAAAGGCTCACAATTCAATTACATGCAGTGCCAGTCTGGCGGTGGAACGTTTAATTTCTGGCGGTGAAGGACCTTTCATTATCTGTCTACCCCTTAAGGCTGTGTAAATTCTTGCGAGTTCCCCTCTCATTGGCAGTTAATTGGCAGTTTGATTCCTAAAGTACCCCTTCATACTCTGTTGGAGACGGCTGATCCTCCTTCATTTCACCCCTAAAACCTTGTTATCTCCCTCAAAATCCTCAGCCCCAACGCACGGTCGATAAATCATGACTGGTCCCTAATCATCCCGTCAGCCTTATCATTCCGATCAAAGTACTTAATCAAATGCGTCCATTAAATCTGCAATAAATGGGTGAAGATGGGCTTAGTTATAAACTGTCGACTTATGCTTCCTCTGTTTGGTCTTAACCCTTTTTAGAAAGAGCTGGTGCAGAAGAGAAGGAACAGTTTCTTAGAGAAATTTCTTTTATGCAGCGAGTTGGTACTCACAGGAATGTGCTAAATATGATTGGATACTGGGACAGGTCAGAACCCCTCATGCTTATCCTGGAGTATGTTCCACATGGAGATCTTCTTCAGTGGCTAAGGAACAAAAGGCAGCAGGTGAAACTGTTTTGCAGGTTCATAACTTGGGCGTTGGAAACTACTGCTTCGTTTGGACTGTGCGAGTACCGATTTATTAATATCGGTTTCTTTAGCAGATGTTTACGTCACTTCGATACTTTTGAATTTTTTCCGCTACAGAACTGAAAAAGTGATGCTGCAATTTCATTAAGTACCTGTGTTTATCTGGGGTGTTCGGTCTAAATCGAAAAACTAAAAAGGTTCCAACTCTTCTTTGGCTACAATGCTCCCAAAACTGATCGAAGGAAATTTTTCTTACGATCTCACATATTCTATTTATTTCAGGTCAAACGCAAAAAAGGGATTGATGGCGTTATTCTTGAACCCTTAGCCCATATTACAGATGACACTGCGAGCTCCAAAAATGTCTCAATCGAAACGTTAGGAGATGAAAAATTTCTTGGAGATAGCGATACTGACAAGGAAATTTTAAAAGGGGGCGAATCAACGGAAGCTCCCGATAATCAAGATTTTATCGTCACGTCGGACATTTCAATTAAAATGGAAGAACAGCCAGATGAAATGCTATTTGAAATTGATATCAGCCAAACTGATTTTCCTACTGGGGAGCGAGGGGAGAAAATATCACAGGGCAAACAGTTCAATAAACAAGGCTGCCTGAGTGAGTTCGACGTGCCTTTTCCCTCTGAAAGTGCAATCGCCCGATTGAATGAATCTACTGTTGATTTTCGGCCCGATGATAAAAACGGAAGTGATGTGAACACCCCGACAGAGAAGGAGACCACAAATGAAGATAAAGGGAGAGATGGAGATAATTCATTTATCGATGAAGAGGAAACTGTCTCATTTGCCTCGCCAGAGCCCCAGGATAACATGGAGGAACAACAGAAAACGGATAGTGATGATGCGCAGGTGTTTGACTTCACCGTCAAAGATGTACTGTGCTTTGCATGGCAGATAGCAAAGGGAATGGTAAGTGCTTAGCATTTAGATCAATTCGGAGTCTAGAGTTGAAACTTGCTTCTCAATTATCTCATGTTCAAGAGCCATTATAAAAAATCAGTTACAATTCACAGATGCAAAATACGAAAACGTGGAAAGAAAGTCAGTTACACGTGTGAACTGTGAAACACCAAATTAAACAATCTAATCTCAACATGAGAAACAATGATAAAACAACCTTGATTGATAGATTATGCCGCGGTAACAGTATTTTTTATTCAGCCAATGTAATGTTGTGAAGTAACATTCTTTTTGTTTTGTTATTTCAGACCGTTTTACAGGTGTTTAATTTATTTTCATGTTTCGTTCACCTCGAGAATCAACGATTTTGATAAGAGTGGTACAAGCGGTAATTGAGTTTTTTGAGGCAACTTCTCCTTCACCGAAACATCAAGAGTATCCACATCATTATGTTTTTTAGGTTCTGCAGTTAATTTTCATAAACAGGAGATTGTATAAATCTGTCGACATTAGCCTGTTGCGAGATAATTGTTCAGGTGTAGCTCCAGTTGTATTTCTTAGAAATGGCTATATAGGAAAGGAGAGTGAAAGGGCAAGGAATAATATCTATCACCCAAACCTTCTAATAAATTTCGGGGGGGGGGGAAAGGCTTTACGATTAATTCTGCGGAGAACTCCACGCAAAGCGTGGTCCGCTTAGCTTTCCCTCGCTTCCCTCAGCCAGTAACACGCAAAACTGGTTCAAAGGTGAATAAATGAGTGGAAATCCAGAGATTCCCGGTTTGCCCATCGTTACGACAGCCCAACACAACTGGTGGTTTTCTGAAGGCAAGAGCTAGATTACCACTAGTTTATTAGTTATCTCTTTGGCTACAAATGAAAAGAAAAAATTGGATAGAATGGCGCACAGGATGCAAGGTTCTTGCACTTTTTTGGTTTCTTTTGTAAACAGGAATACTTGACTGGAAAGGGATTTGTTCATCGTGATCTGGCCGCACGTAACATTCTTCTTGGTGAAGACAGAGCAGTGAAAATTGCTGACTTTGGCCTATTACGTCACACGTATGGGGCCATTTATGAGGTCAAGAAGATAAAAATACTGCCAATCAAATGGATGGCGCCTGAGGCTCTGGAAAGGGCTATATTCACCTCTAAAAGCGATGTGTAAGTACTTTAAGTTCACAAAACACTTATTCACGTTACTAATTTTTGAATTGCCATGATTCATTCTGAGTTCAATGTCTGTCAATGAAAATTGGGATTGGGGACTAGTCAGTATCTGTCACAACTGTAAACACCTGAATTTAAGGACCGGAAGACCTTTTACACTAAAATTATCATACAAGCCCTTTGCGTACAGTTCAGCGCTGTGATCATCTACATATTCCGTACAACCATCCCACAACTGGAATATAGCTGCGATCGATTGATTGACAGGATACTAAGCTGACAAAGCAGACAATTGAAAGTAACTTAAACTAATCATTTTTCATGTCTTTCTGGTTAGATGGTCTTTTGGTGTACTTCTCTGGGAAATGTGCATGATGGGTGAGTAGCGATTGATTTATCACAACAATAGTATGATCATCTCTGGTAGTTATAGATTGCGTGCATTTTGCACTCGGAAGCATGCAAGATGCATCAACTAAGTCATACTTAGTTACTTGATTAAGTTTCCCCATGTTTACCGCTTCAAAAACAGCTTTATGCGTTCGGGTAAGAGCCAATCCTAAAACAAAGGGAAAATGATTCTGAGCAGTTTTTATCTTAAAGAATAACTTTCACCTGCAGCAGCTGATCTAAGTCAGAGGTACGATCCGAAGCTTGCACTCAGAGACCGAGGTTCTTTCCTGTTGCTCATGTCTTTCAATTTTCATCCGTTACAGCTACTGAAGATCATTTTTCCTACTATACTGGAAAGCTTACAGTAGCTATAAAACCGCTGGGGATGTTAGATTGTATAGTTAAGAGTATCAAAATCAAAAGGAGGAATGACTATTAGCAACTAATTAGATACCGAGGAACATGTTATTTGTTTTTTGTCGGCTCCTGGGGGGAACTAACTAGGACTTACTTTATTTTTTATAGAAATAAGATCTATTTTACAATAACCTATTTTCCCGTCTTTTCATCCAACTTATATTGGAGGTGGCATTCCCTATCCTGGGATCTACAACAGAGAATTGTACAAGCTTCTCAAGTCAGGGTATCGAATGGATAAACCAGTCGTGTGTTCTGATGAGCTGTACGTTCAACAATGTTGTTCACTTGTGCAACTAACATAATGACTATTTTACACCACAATCTTATCAAGAAATCTTTAAATTGGCTGCCATATTGCACAGTTTGTTATTGTGTATTGCAGAAATAAAGGTTTAAGCGTTCGACTACGTGCGCTAGGCCTCTCTATAATATTAGAATTTTCTGTTTCTACGATATACTTATTTCTTTGCATCCAGAGCAACATGACGGTGATAAAAAATAGAACTAGATAGTCCGTGTTTTTTTTTAGGATATTGTCGTCTTAGCAGCAACGATCTAGCCAAAATATACAACGCGAAATGCATCTTAAAGAAAATTTATTAAAACGTATTTAATGACAACGCTCTAAGCGGTTACATTGTTCTCCTTCCTGTCTTTCTGTCGTCATTGTTCGAAGAACAGTACTTATAATTAAGACGATAGCTTCATTATAGCGCCATTGCTCCCATTTACACCAGATTCCTTATATCTTATCAGATACGAGTTGATGTTAAACTGTTGGAGGGAAGACCCAGAGGAGAGACCATCATTTGAACAGCTGATAACAAAACTGGAAGAAATGATAACGAGGGACACTCCTTATTTCGATTTTAATACAGACTATGAAAGCGATGCATCTAACACTGAGACAAAATCCAAAAGTGACTAACCACATAAATGACTTGTGTTTGGCTGGATAGGTTTTCAGAAGAGATTTTGTTGTTTTCATACATATTCGATGATTTGCAAAAGTAGTAACAAAGGAACTTGCTATATTGTTAGATACATTGTAACTGAATATTAAGAGGCTGTCTCTCTTAATTCCTGGTCAATTTCGCGTAAAAAATAATTTTGCCTGAAACTCTGTCAAAAGAAAGACTTTACTTAGGAAAGAACCAAATTAGATTTTGCTTGATTCGAAATAATTTTTTGACTACATTAGGGGCCACAGTCCGTAGGGACCGTTGCAAGATCTCGAAAATTGAAAAATAGACATATTTTGTAACTTTGTAAAATATTTGATTCTTATGGTTAAGCCACGAAGTTTATATCAGATTGCTTAAAAGCCTTTATAGTTTTCCAAGGAAGTTATAATTTCCCTCTTAATATATTTGAAAAGGCGAATTTTTAGCATATTCTGCCAACAATAGATAGCCATCGACCGATGGCCGTAAATAACCTTGATTTAGACGTTAAGTTTTGGAATTTGGGACCTGGTTGACAACTCTATCCTACACAGCCGTCAAGTTTAGACATTTATAGGCAAATACGAGCAAAAAACCCTGTACGTTTTCGACTTTTCAAAAGTTATGACCGTTTGAACCAGCACATGTACGAGCATTCGCGACTTTTTCATCTACACCAAAATCGAACCACTGGACCAGATTTTGTCATAAATACAGCTTACCTTCGACGCACTTGGATTTATGTGAAATTTCAGATACTCCACGCCCCACAAACTGGTAAACTTAATAACAACTCTGACAAATAGCTCCAGACTTCAGCAGTCGGGATCTATCGACACTCATCTCCAACTCTTTGTTGCGAACTAAACTCGAAACCAAAATAAATAAATAAATAAATATATATTTCTATAGCGCCATCTTCCACTGATTGTCCATGGCGATTTACAATACTTTAAAACCGTAAATATTAAAAATTTAAAATTGAAATCCTAAGAATTAAATACAAAATGTAAAACAATGAGGCTAAAAATAAAAAGTGAAAACTACAGGTAAAAAATACAAATCAAATGCATGCTTTAAAAGGTAAGTCTTAAGATTAGCCTTAAAAACTGCCAAAACTGCCTATGATGATGAAAACCTGATCTGGAGTGGTAGTTTATTGTAAAGCCATGTTACGCGCTTAATGTCCTGTTGAAACTTTGGATTGCGGCTGCGTTTTCGTCAAGAATCAGTCATATTATTCCACAAGTGTATGTGCCGAAGCTTCAGGGCTAAAATTTGGAATTTAAAGCAGAACGATCGCACTATCGAGCACAACAATGTTGCTGTTTTCACAGAGGTCCGCATTAACCATTGGGGGTTAATACTGTCGACAATATAGCAGTATCACGGTACGTAGATAGAATTTACATAAAAATCATACTTACGGGAACCTGTTGAAACGAGTTCTACAAAGATAATATTAATTTCCCTTGACATGTCGAGATGAACTGCATTTCTAGTTTTTAGCTGCTTTTTCCGGCCGGTCTGCAGCGGGTACTGGCACGGTGCGACGTGGTCGTCAGTTTTTACCCATGTTTCCTCTATGCTTTTCGCAGATCCAAAGATTTTCAAGTTGATCAGGGGAAAGGTCGTGTAGCAACCCTGACCTGTTAACGATAAGCTCATATTCTCGTACCTTTCCTCTCAGCTGACCTAGGTGACATGTTTGTAGATGATCATTGATGTCACCTAGTATCGTTTTTAAACTAAAGTACAAGAGCCTGCTTGTTCGGTTTCATTTTGGCTAATTAGCTTTGACAAGGGAAGGACGTTGAATCTCGTCAGCTACTAAGTTATTGCTACTCGTTTGTTGGCTCATGACTGTTCGATTCAAGCTGTGTGACCGGTGTGGTCAAATCTGACAGTTGATTGACGTTGGTCAGTACCAATCAAAATAGAGCATTTTGTTATTCTCAAAACTATTTTTGTATTCAAGATTAAGATCAACTACTTTGATTCTTTGATTGTTCTACAACCAAGCGCAACACTCTCAACCGATCAGATGCAAAACTAAAGTGTAGCGGTTTTGCTTTAAACTGCAAACGTTAATTATCATCAAGCCGACGACTGATAGACGTGATAAGGTCACATGGCATACTTTTTACGTCACCATGATACAAATCCTCTACATTTTTAGTATTCATCGTCACTATTCATGAAGTCTTCCAACTTTACTTTGTCTACTACTACATGGTAAACTAGAATTTCGATCTGTTTAGTTTTCAGTTAAGATAGATTCTTACCTTCGGGTATAATTGTGGGTTGTATGTGGTTTTTATATGCAGAAAGTGGAGCCACGCCATTGGTTGGAACATGGCAACGAGAAAAACACGAATAAATTAGTGGAATGAAAAAGCGTTCGTTGATACCTGTGGGATTAAGAGTGCCGATTTGTGAAAGATTAACTTTTCTTCAAGAGTTTGCGGCTTTCCGTGTTGCCTAAATGTAAGGAAAGACCGCAGATAGCCATATTTTGTTTAAAATGATTTGGTAAATTAAAGTGTCTAGAGACTGGTTTAGATGCGTCCTTGTCATTCCTTTCCACGTCGCGAAGGTGTTCTCGGAATCGGTCACCTAGTCGTCTTCCTGTTTCGCCGATGTATAACTTTTGCAATAAGTGCAAGTTATGCAATAGATAACGTTGGCGGAGGTGCACTTGAAGTGATCGGTGATCTTAATGGATCGCATGGGTCCCGATATTTTCTCAGCGTTGTGAATGAAGGGACAAGTTTTGCATCGTGCGCGAGCGCATTTAAAAGTGCCGGGTTGGTCATTAGTTTGGAATGAACTTCTGACCAAAAAATTGCCTATGTTTTTGTCGCGTTTGAATGAAATAAGTGGAGGTTGCGAAAAGATAGTGCCAGTCTCTGGATCGTTTTGAAGTAATTTAATTTTTTGAAGAAAATCTATAACATTTGCCAGATCGACAGTAGCATCTGAACAGGCTCTTAAGTCGAAGACGGTACGAAAAGGAAAGCGGGAGGAAAAACAGCGATGACGGGGAATGGGTAAGGAAGAGGGCGCTCCCCCTTCCTTACCACTCCCTTACAAGCTACTTCATTCGGAGTTAATTCCAACTGCCGTTAGGGGACTGTTGACAAGCTCTATCGACAGTCAGGCACGTGTGGTTAATCAGGTTTTTCATTAGCGTAGTAATCGGCCAAAAGATTTTGNAATTTTCCCATAGGAACAAAGTTTAGTAATCATAGAAATTACAAAAAAAATGACTAGCTAGGTAGCATGGACGTGGGTAGTGCTTTATGTAATCCATACCAAATCTTTTGGCCGATTAATCCCACACTTGGCACTCTTAATCCCACAGCTATTAAGGAACGCTTTTCATTCCACTAATTTATTCGTGTTTTTCTCGTTGCCATGTTCCCACCAATGGCGTAGCTCCGCTTTCTGCATATAAAACCACATACAACCCACAATTCCTCCATTCGCTCTGACGAAGGGCTAACGCTCGAAACGTCAGCTTTTTTATTCGTTACGGTGGCCAATTTACTATTTCAACTTAGTTGATATAACCAATTACCTTGTTACCCCCACCGACGCAGCACCACAGTTTCTTTAGAAACTTTCAGCCTTTATTCACTTAAGGTATAATTGTGTCTGTAATGAGAAATTGTCTTTCAGAACCCCTAGGTGTCAGCCTCTATGTACATTTTACATTCAATAAAGCAATGAAAACTGTTTAACGAAAACAACGTGCATACTGGTGAAAATAAATAGCTATTGGGGCTACGTAATCTTTACATAACCTTACGCAAAGACGCGAACTTAATAAAACAGAAACAGGAAATTTCAATAGCAGTGCAGTAGAAAGAAAAAATTTAAATTATTTCGCATTTGCTTGACAACAGATAAAAATGCAAACTCTAGTTGCTACAGTGTAGCCCACTCAAAGTAATGCAATGCGGCCCACTAGTTTATTTGCTTTGTTCACCGAAATTTTAGTTTTCAATTCCGATAAAAGGATCCCTCTTTAGTTACAATTACTGATTGCTTGAAACGTAGAAGATACAAACGCCTCTCTTAAAATCAGCAACGGCTCTATGTGTTTTCCGAGAGCCCACCAGGAGTCCATTCTTGTTGATGGCTCCTGGTGTTTTCTTGTCGTAGCAAAGGCTAGGAATCGCTTGTGTTAGGTCGCAATTGCAACCATATTGTTAACTGGCGCGTGTCAGCCTAACTCCGTGGATCACACGATGCGGATTTCCGTAGCGCTCGAGCTTTGACGTTCATTGGTGAAAATTGCAACTCATTCTAGAACTCATGGATTCTTTGTAAACTTTCAACACTTCATCATTCCATTGCACAAGGCATTGTTGTGGTATTGAACTAAAACTTTCCTAAGATTTTTATTGTGTTGACTGTGCTGATGCCTTCCATAATGGCAAATGACATTTGTTAAGCTTCCTTGCCAATGAAATGCTTCTGCTTTTAAGTCATATAGAGGAAAAAAATTAAAAAATTATCCGCTTGACTTGGTACTATGTACATAAAAGGTATTGAGCCTTTCGGAGCAACTTTAGAATACCCGGTCCCTTTTGACCCCTAGTAATCGATTGCTTCCGTGCTCCCGAAGTCGAAGAATAGCTAAAAGAGAGGGCATTTAAACAGTGCTCCCGCATTCCATTCTCGAAGTCGAAGAATAATGAACTGATAGGGGAGTTAAACTAGTGTTCCTGCAGTCCCGCGTTCACGAAGTCGTTGAATAATGAAAAGAGTGGGCAGTTAAACGAGTGCTACCGCAGTTCCGCGCTCCCAAGGTCAAAGAAGAATGAAAAGAGAGGGAAGTTGGACTAGTGCTCCCGTCCCGCGTTCCCAAAATTAAAGTGAATAAACGATTAATTTTGTTGCTATTCACTTCTCTGTGGGCTAAATTTTCTCTACTGAGGGATATTTTATTCTTATACATGAACGAATCATTAATTCCATTTTGAATTTCGCTAGAAGAACGAAGAATTCAGATACGACTATTTATTATAATTTGAACTACGATTTAAGAACGAAGAATATATATTTGAATGTGTCGGCTCACTCGCCAGCGAAGTCGAAACACTCAGTGACTGGGTATTCTGAAGTTTTGCCGGACTTTTAAGGAATTTTTATATCCTAATTCTCTACCCCCCTCAAACGAATACAAAACATTTATCATGTAATAAGGAACCACAATTGGGGTGTGTCAACACGAGCTGTGTGCGACCCTCTTTATTATGCGTTAATCATCAAAATGGACAACAATGATACAACAAACAAAATAAACACTGAAGTGTAAAAAATATAACAAGAAAAACTACCCTACAAAAAAATCTAAGAGAATGTGGGTACCTAGTTATCAGTTAACTATTAATTTTTCGGCCAATTGTCAATTAACTGCTATTTTTTGACCAATTGTCAGTTAACTACTAATTTTAGTTAACTATTAACTTTCATTTTCTTACAGAGAAAAATATTGCATCATAACCCGAATTTTCTTGACTTCAGCACGCCAATCAGTTTTGGTGGGTCGGACTTTACTAAAACCAAGGTATAAATTATTTGAATTTACATAACCTTAACCTCTAGTCTGAGTTGTAAGGAACAGACATTGAAGGAAATAAGGTAATTATCTAACCGAGGGTAATTGCTAGCTATCAACCGATTTTCGCTGTAAGTGCAATTGAAATATAACCATCAAATAATACCGACATCGTAAATCCAGACGTACATATGCACGTACTGCTCTTCCTGACCTGGTCATGCATGTCTTGCTTACTACTTGAAATTAATTCAACGTCACAGTCTCTTCCCGTGTCTGAATCGGTCTTGTACTCATCTTGTTGCTGTATGTCCTGTACCATTTCACGATCTTCTTCGGCTTCCTCTCTCCTCTTTCTTTTCCTTACAACAAAAGTATCATTTGAAGTCCTTCTTGACTTTCCTGGTTTTTGCGTAACAATAATCGGTGGTTTGTTGGTCCAACTGACTTTTTGCTGGATGACATGTACTGCAGACATAAAAAAAATCGATGATAATGATAACAATAATAATAATGATAATAATAATAATAATAGTTTGTTGTTCGCACATGATTCAAGATGGAACTTTGAAAGCCCTAATTAGTAATTCCTGGTTTTTGCGTAACAATAATCGGTAGTTTGTTGGTCCAATTGACTTTTTGCTGGATGACATGTACTGCAGACATAAAAACAAAAATCAATAATAATGATAATAATAATAATAATAATAATAAATGGAAATGAGCTGCCCGTGGGTTAACAATCGGACAAGGGAGGATGAAGAGAAGACACTGAAGTACGGACCTCTTCGCTAGGAACTAAGGCAGCAGTTCCCAGGCTACGAGGTGAAGCAATATAACATCATAATGGATGCCCTCGGGGGGTGGTCACGGGAGCTGGATGTCATGATGTGCGAGCTGGTGGGAGGCAGAAGCCCAGACGAACTGCGAAAGATGCACAGGGCAGTGCTCTCGGGCACGCTTAATATTCCCCAGACTTTCAAGGTGTCAGTTTAAGTTCCTGTTAGAATGAGGACCGTAGACACAACGGAAAAGCTTTTTAGGATTAGTTAATGTACATTTATTTCGCTTCATTAAGTAAATATCTAACTTGGTCACATCTACATTAGTAACAGATTGCTTCCCTTCTTCAAAGTGTTCGGCAAAGAACATTTCACCTACCGGTATAAATGATTGAATATTGTCCTCTTTCAGCTCAATTTTACCCTAGAACTTTTTTAAAACTTAAATGTGTTCGAATGTGCAAAGAAAAACAGACGCCCTCTGCCAGCTTATGAAAAGTGTTGTTGTAAACAATTTCGTCTTGGAGAATGGATGATAGCTTGAAACGAAAGCAGGGATAAAAACCAATCTGTCGTTGTTACCTATGGAAGGTTATGTAGCCCGCGAACTCGACGGTTGTTCCCTTTCTTCGCTCCTACGAATCGAAAACCACCGATACTTTTACGTTCCCAGACTACTTTATGGAGTAGAAAATTATCACGATAGTAATAAAAGAATAATAAGAATGAAAATAACGAAAATAGTAATAATGATAATATTTACAGGAAATGAAAATAAAAACCGCTGACCGTATACTGTAGTTTCGTCGCCCAAACAGGAGGGAGACAAGGGAGACACGTGATTGTGTTACGACAACACATTTGAACACATAATTTTATTCTATTGATGTGTGTTGTCAGTTGGTGCTGTCCCTGGATGTAGTGGTTATCTACAAGTAGTATTTAACTTTTAGATGTCAGGGTAAGCTAGATTTTGTAAAGAAAACTTCCGTCGGCGACAACACATAGGTTTGATAGAATATTGCGATGGACTTCAAACATGATCCTCAGTAGCTTTCGAAATCCACTTTGATCATGAACTCACTTGAAATATCTTTGTAATGACTGTTACTATTTTTTACCAATTTGTGTGTCCTAATTGTAGGTTAAAAGTCCCTGAAGGTTTGGAAGGAAGAGTCTCTATCGAATGCAGGCGGTTGGAACTCTTGGGACGCAAATTGATCACATCAAATATCTAGGATCAATGCTACCTAAAGGTTTGCGAACCACTTTCGTTACGCTAGTGTTGTTAAAGTTTCAAACCTGCTGTTATTCTAGTGCACTGTGCAGACCAAGCTTCCTTTCTTTTGAGATATTTTAATGATTTCGCCGATTTCGGGGCATATGGTTTATTTGAGGTTGACAGTTGCATGATCGCCACAAACCAACCCTGATCTGAATTTGCCGAAAGTCTCAATTTTTAGATTTTCTGTCATAATTTGGTGTACGTGTTCACGAGATCAGTCTTTGAGAAATATGAGCAAAAAGGGGTTGGCAGTCTGTTGTGTGGTTCACTGCTCAGGTTATTTAATTGGTTTGTGGGTTGGAACAGAGGTAGTTTTCACAAAACTTGTCTGAAATGAATTGAACCTCACTATGGTTTCAACCTGCAACAAAGTAACACTGATGTATATACAATAACAAAGGACAGAAAGTCGTACAGCTTCATCACAACAAGTCCTGAGGTTTGGTTTTGTAAAGAATTAACCTCTATTTAGAAAATATCGGCCACTGTATACTGTTGAACATTATCGAACTTTTCGCAGTAAAATCCTCCATTTTGAAAATGAGTCAAGCTCTAACAAAACATCCCGAGTGTTTCCTATTTCGTGCGGCGAGTGTGGCAGTGGTTTAGTCGCCTGTCTTACCTTTTCCAACAGAACTGTCTCATGGTTAAAAAAAAATAATTTCTTCATGTAGTTCGTTGGTCAATGAATAAACTCTTATTAGCTTTTGTTGCTCGAATCACTGAGACTCGACTTAACACTTTGTGTAAGTTTTGTCCTGGTTTACTGGGATATCTAAAAGATGGTAATGCTGTGGCACATCCTCTTGATAGTTTACGCAGTGATTCATGACCTTTTATTTCTTATAGTAATGTCAAATTGTGTGTTGTTTCCAAAACTAAGATTTAAGAGCACCCTTCTGACCTCAAACAATATTCTGTCCAAACACTGGATTGTGGGTGTAGTGGTTGTTTTAAGACAATTTTTTTTTATTGGGGTGGGGGAGGGTCGTAATTAATGTTAAAAACTCTGATTGGTCTATAGGTATTAGTTGTGTTGGCCTGTTTTCTAATTGCTTATGATGCGTGAAATGCATCATTAGAATGCACAAACTTCTCTTCTGCTCACTGTCATTGGTAATCACAACCATGGTGTGTGAAAGTTGGTGAGGATTATGTTAGTAGTTCAAAGAGTTGGCTTTGAAAATAAACAAATGATGGGAGAACATGCAACAAAAAACATTTAACAAGCTAAGTTCAGAAGGCATTTCTGAAACGAAATGAATCATTGCTATTAATGGTAACGTGTTTTTTTTTGCTTTGAAAGAAGTCAAGTAAAGACATAATTAATGAAATTTATTTGAAATAACTAACATTGAGAGTTAATTACATGGTAATCCTTAGATCTCATTTGTAAAAACAACAATAGTGTATTTTAATAAAAATGGTTATAACTAGTTAAAAAATTAATTTGAAATTGGCAAAAATATAGAGTGAACAACATACAAAGAGAAATCTAATAGAACTTATTAAGTAAAAGAAGTGGAATTTCCCACTTTTGCCTATGAAACAAATAATTCCTATTCATCAATTTGATCACCTCTTTTGTATTTTGTGATTGAATACAGCGGTTCCTTCCACAGTAAGAAGCAGTTCAGTGATATCATCATCACTAAGGTCTGCAAATTCTTTCACCAATTGCCCATCCTGTTCTGTTGTAATAGTATATATGTCCAGGGAAGTCTTGTCTTTCCCAGAGATGGTAAGAATACTGGCCATTATTTTACAGCAACATTTGGTCTTCAGTTGCATTAGGCCACACTCAGAATATTTGAGAATTTTCATGTCACTGTTCATAACTTTCAAGTAGCACTTGTTGTGGGTTCAATGAGATTGAACTTAGATAATTCCATCTGGTCTGAATTGCAGCTTCAGTTGTTGTTTTTTCTCTAATACCAAAAACTTCCCGATCTATCCTCAATTTGTCAGCGTCATTTATTGTGCTGTTTTTTGTTCAAGTTGAATGTAATGAACAGTAAATTTAAGCCTTTGTTTTAAGTGATTAGACTCTACTCTTTCTGATTTGCCAATTCATTGCTTAGCAATACGTGACTAGCCCTTACACGTGGAGGGTAGAGTTTAAGTTCATGATGCACAGTATGTGTGTCAAGTAAATTTAAGCTTAAGCTACCCTTGGCTATTTAGAGTGCAATCGGGAACCGATGTGTGAGTATAAACCGTTTTGGTTTGTTTTAGTATTAATTAATCTAATTAATACCAAAACTAATCGCTTGCAATTGCGCTCATGCAAACTTGTTTTATAGCATCGTGCAATTTTATTTCCTTCAAGATCTTAGTGTTTATCGTAACTAGGAGTGTTAGCAGTATCTCTACCTGTCTAGAATCATTCATATTCTTAATTGTTAATCATTCAAATGCTGGTTTTATAAACATTGTCACACAGTAATAATGATTGGAATGTTTATAACTATTGACTCGTGACTTGCCGTCTTCAGTGAAATCCTTTATTACCAAGTAATTAGTTCGCTGCATTGTATTTCGGTTTATGTTTGATTATTGCCAATAAATTCACCATCAACTACAGTTGGTTCTCCGTGATCTCAGGCACTGTTCAATCAGTGAAGCATCCCCTCACATACACTCTATTCACCGCGACACGTTGTCTCGCAAGTGACCTTCGGCCTTTGAGTAATCGCCGTGAATCTAGCGTTACAGTGAATAATTTGTGCCATTAAATTCTTTAATGGCAACATTTGATATTTTCAATTGTAACCTTGTCCTGGTTTTATTTTACTTATGTCCTGTTTCCACAAGACCAGCTGTAGAGATCCACTGTTATCTATAAACGGCACTTCTTGTATAGTCAGAGTTTTTCTGGGAACATTCACAGTTTCCACGGCACCATCAAATAAAATACGGCCAGCAATGTTGACCAGGATATTATTTTCTCGGTCTTGAATTTCCTCTACTGAGCTGTCTGTTGCTTCCATGGTTGCTT